AGAGCACGGTGCCGCTGCGCACTTTCATATCTATTCGTGCAGTTTATCGTAACCATAGTAATTTAGAGGTTTATTTTAATCTTGTGTGTTTTGCATAAAAGGATTTTGGAGCTAATAGTCACGGGTGACAAAAACACAATGACTCTGGTTCATGCCAGCTGAAGTGTATATGACAATAAAGTGGTGGATGTCAATCTGTTTACTTACTAAATTTTATATTTTTTTTAATAGGCCTATAGGCTCATAGGTCTCTTGTCCATAAAAAAAGAAGAGAAAAAAACCCATTTTAACAGCACCCCTGTTATTGCTATAGCTAAGAATCTATTTGATCATTCAAGAACCAAGCACATAGACATACGCTATCACTACATTGTGAATGTGTGCAAAATGAACTAATTCTACTGCAATATTGTTCTTTTTTATTCAATATTTACACTAAATTAAAACATGAAAAAATAAGCTAGGTTCATGATGCAGAATAACCTTCCTATTTAATTAAAATATATTTGATACTGCATATTTGTTTTGAAAATAAACTTTCAAAAACGTTTTTTTCCTTATCTATGTATGTTAAACCAATTTTTTTCCCTCTGTAAAAATGTAAAACCCATTTACAGATGGTAAACATATGCAAAAAGGTAAAACTGAAAACCGCTCAGAACAGAAACCGCTTCATTGACCAAAACTCCTGCCCTTTAAATTCACTGAGTAAAATTTAATCTTTATCTAAAGATGATCACTCTTGCATTAAGTTTTCTAAATATGTATTTTTATTTAATCCTATAAGGATTCAACAGAATCATCATTTTGTCTTCATTCAGAGCCAGTCTGGGGATAAATTAACTGTACTTCTGCACTTTAAGAGGCCTTTATTAAGGACAGGTTTACAAAAGACTTCATATAAAAAAAAAAAAAACAATTGTATTAAGGGTAACATTTTGCTGCTAAATAAAATAAGTTTGACTCCATGTTAGCATTTCATTGTTTGTGGAATCTATGTTAAACTTTAACACTCAAACTGAAATAAAATCCTGCTTCAGGATGCAGCCATACAAAGAACTATAATTCGGTTTTATTCACTTTACCTGCTAAACATAGACTTTTTGTGCTCCTTTGGTGGGTTTAGGGCTCCACCTGGTGCACAGTGAGGGTACTTTTCAATTTTTAGATTTTTTTTTTTTTTTTTTTTTTGATTGATTTAATAACTTTTAACACTGGTAGTTTACAGGCTAAAATAACACTAGTTAATCAGTATAAACCTCTCAAATATAGAAGATGTCATAATGCATAGTGATAAAAATATGATCCTAATCCTTTATTCTTACTGTATCTCTTTTCGTAATAAACTCATGTGTCTGGTTCTGAAGTTGCAAAAAGGTAAAAAAAAAAAAAAAAAAAGACCTTACAGAGGACAGAGAGAGCTGCATCAAGAACATAGATGTAACATCTTTGTACACTTTATAAACTTAGCAAACTGATCAGTCAAAACAATAAACATTAAAGCCTTAAGAGACATAAATCAGCTTTTTGCTTCAAGTTGATTAAAATGCTGGATGCATTTTAAAACATTTCAAATATCTTTTTGTGTTTTCTGTTGTACTAAAATGTTAAAATGTAATGAAAAAACTAAATGATTTCAGTAGTTCAGTTCATTATTATATTGATTGAATATATATGGAGTTTATTTTTTTAAAGATTTTGCAAATGTTGAGTAAAAAAAAAAAAATCCAGACTAATCAATCTGGTATGAATAAACACATCTTTGCAGAGAATATGCAGTGATCAGTCTGGTTTAGATAGATGATTTAAAAAAAAAGCCATTAATAAACTTGACGTCACCTCTAGGTTTAGCTCTGGTGACTCCAACCTTTATCTTGACAATATTCAGTAGATTTTCTACAGCAGAGATTCCTAAAATATCAGCCTGTTTATATATAGTGGTGCTCTCTATATTTAACAAAAAAATATTTATTTGGGAAATATTTATTTTAAGTAATTTTTTTTTTAAATTTCTAATCATTCAAGTCTTCATTTAAACATATCTTCAATAATTTTATGGGACATTAATTATTCAATTGTGCATTTTACCATTTATTCCACGTTTAATGTTAGAATCGTATTAGATTGATTTCTTTTTAAATAAATAATACTGCTTATTTAATTCAACATAAATTTATTACATGATATATTTTGGCCCTCTATATACCCCTGGGATCATATCACAATGATTGAGGCTCCCCAGTTGGTGTCTTGCGATGCTCTGGAGGGTCGCGACCTCCACTTTGGAGCACAGCGACTTAAATCAGGTATTAGTAATATTGGTAATGTGAACGGATGCAACGTTCAGGTTAGAAATGAAATAAACTCTATAAAGCTCTTTGTGACAGCCTGCTGTCACACTCTGAAGCTGTGTGGTAACTTTTATATTTTTCCTTTTAAAAATTAGCTGCACATTTAGACAATTTTCTTTAGCCCGACTTTAAGTTAGCTTTTTGCAGTGCACACATTTAGTTAACTTTGTCAGATTTTTTTCTTAAAATGGAAATATTAATTACATGTTCTTTGAGTTGCCAGTTTCCTTTGGATCTGCTGTTGAAGGGCTGCAATGAGCTCCAGCTTTCCTCTCAATGGATCATTGTTGGCTAATCAGGGGGTCACACCATTTTTAAAGGGAAGGGGAAATGTGTTTATTTGTTTGAATATTCTTAGATTGGGTAGCTTTGTTAATCAGTTAAATGTAAAAAGTTCTTAGTGTCTGGCCAGTATTTATGTGTTTATTTGTTTGTTAGTTTGTCAGTCAGTTATCCCCCGTGTGTGTCAACAGTGGTCTGATCAGCCACTATTTAAGTTTCCCTCATGTCTTGTTAGGTCAGTTTGTGCTTGAGTTCTTTACGTTAGTACCTTAATTGAACTCAGTTTTGTTGACATCTGTTTTGGGGCCCAGTTTATAGTTTTTTGAAATAAATTAAGACCTTTTTTTGTAAAATTTCAATGGTTTTCTGGCTGGTTTGTGCAAAACCCTCACTCTTCATCAGGGGGAACGATAAAGAAGCTCTGAACTTTGACTCAGTGGATGACAACAAGCAGATGACATTATTCCTCCAATCATTAACTGTGGAAACATGATACTGGAACTCAAGAACTGTGGATTCTGACTCTACAGTGGAAAAAATCGAAATCTAGAGAAGTGATTTTCTCTTAATATAAGTGCATTTGTTCTTGAGTCGAGGAGGTAAGTGAGACACTTTGCCAATGGTACAAGACAATTTACATTTAAAATAAGACAAAACAATAGCATTGTCTTATTTCAGGTGCATATTATCTTTTAAGAGTAAAAAAATCTAATTCCATTGGCAAATCATCTTGTTTACCTACTAAAATTAAGGGGAAATACACTTAATTTAAGAAATATTGACTTATTTATAGATTGTTTTGCAGTGTAGGACCTTTTGAAAGTCTGTTGTACCAAGTACCAGAAACCTCTGGGGTCATTTTTGGTTCAGGAGAGACTTAACAAGAGGAATTTAATCATTCCACCAAACACCCAAAAAAACATCTGAAAGAAGTGGCTTCAGACCCAATGAACCCAGTCAGTTTCTGCCCCAAATGGTCTTCACATGCACCAGTAACCTTTGTTTTTTTCCCTCTACTCAACTTCCTCTCTATTCTGTACCTCCAGCTTCTATAATAGGGACCTTTAACATTTTTGTGGAACATGTGAAGTTAGTGTTCTTTTAAGAAATGCAAATTTCTACCCGTGAAACATGAATAAAATTATGATAAACACTATAAATATAATCACTGTGTACAAAATCTTAATAATCTTCAAGTTTCACTTTAGAAAAAAATAACACATCTACATCTATTAAAAAAACAATATTGGTTTCTACTCAGTTTGTAATAATGGTTAAAATTCCTGTCAGTGAGAACCGGTCGCTACTTTACAATAAAACTTAATTTCATTTTCTCATTTATAAAAACAAGACTTCCTAAAAGAAACTGTCTGAAGGCAATGATCAGTAAGAAACACCCATCATGTTTTTTTTAATGTACCACACATCCAACAGACCGCAACTGAAACATGTTTTTAATACAGTTGGCAAAGATCCTTTTTAATTTCAATCATTATTTACAGATCCGTATGTACAGAGTTCAGAATACAGCAGGTGGTCGAGGGGCGGGGCAGACGTTGCTGACATTCCTCCTTTCCAAAACAACTGATTAAATAGAGGACTGCCTTATTTCTTTCATTCAACCAGATCAGCAGCATGTGTGCATAGCTCGGACATATACCAAATAAATATGCACATGAAGCGCCGTATAAAAGCGATCCCAAAGATGGCGGACGGCACTGCAGGAGCCTCACCTGATCACCCACACGGACAAAGAACCACAGCAAAGAAAGAAAAAAAAAAACAAAGCCTCATCAGCCTGAGCTTATTTTATCATTGGGTTCATAATTAAGACTTAAGGATTTGTTTTTAATTTAAATACATCTTCATGACTTAGATAAAACACAGAACATTTTTTCCTTCGGTAGTTAAAACTGAGACTGTGCTTTTAAAATGTTTGAATTATTTGACGATTCTTTTTTTTTTTTACTCAGCTGCTGATTATGTCAGATGATTCACTTTAATACTCAATATGAACCAACATTAGCTAGAGATACAGCACTGGTTTAAAAAATTGACCCAATTTTTTTTTAATTCAGCATGAGGCTCCGTCTCTTTAGTGCTGCTGATAGCAGCTCTGGACTCTAATTCCAAATCATAAAGTTGAAATCCCAGTAAGGTACATCAGGAGGAAATAGACATGATAAAAGCCTTTTCAAGGAAATATTTTCACTTAATTATAACCAGATGTTTGAGAGGTCCAGAACGTCATTACGGCGGGCTGCACCAACTCAGTTACAGTACTTCAGTAGCAGATCATGGCGTACAAACATCAAGAGCTTTGGTGCAACATCAGACAATCAGGACTGTTTTCCTTCAGTTCCGATTTGATTCTTCAGTTCATATATATATTTATATATTTATATCTATAAATCCATTCGGTGAGATATGTACAAAGTATGGCAAGGAACATGTTTTTATTTAAATTTATCTTCAGATGTTGTTGGCTCTTCGCTGCTCAGTGAGTCATGTTTTTAGTGAATTGAACCTTTTCATGCGTAGGTGGGCGAGTCTCTGTCGGCGGTCTTAGACACAGACCCGGCCCGGACACGCTCTGTCGCTCAGACGAGTTCATCCAGAGAGGCTGGGAGGGTGAAGTCCCCCAAAACTGGTAGCGTGGGTAGCCTCAGCCCCAGGGTCATGTGGCGTTGACCTCCATGATGTGGTCGTCGGTGGTGGGCAGAACCAGAACCTGCTGTGAGTGGCTGTTATTGAACACCTGTCCCGGGCTGAAGGGTTCGAGGCGCGGCATTGCCACGCCCTTCTGCTGCTGGTCGCTGCTGCCCACTGAGTGGATGCTGCCTCGGCTGCGGATGCTCGCCGTGTCTGCCTGGTCGTCCAGCGTATTGTCCAGCAGGGACAGACTGTCGTTCTCTACACAGCTGTCTGTGGGCGGCAAGAAGAAAAAAAACTGAAGGAGGCGGTGTAAAGTGTCTGAGTTGCTGCTGATATCTTAGGGATGTAGTGACAATTCTGGCAGTTAAATGAGCAGAATGAGAAAAAAAAAAAAAAAATCATCTTTACTCTCAGAGGGACCTTACCAGGGTCTGGCTGGATGGCCGCTGCAGCGTTGTGTGGCAGGTACTTTAGGACCTTGATTTTGGGGAAGGGCAGGTGACCTGCGAACAGCGGCATCACCTCGATCTGCACCTTGTGCGTGGCGTTGGCCTTCAGAGGCATCAACACCATCCCAGAACTCTTCCCACACACGGCCCAGTTACTGCTGCTGTCGGCCACTAGGGACACAAACACAGTGAGTCAGGCTTCAACTATTCTTATGCTTACATTATACCCAATAAAGTCCCGGGCCTTTTTATCTATAACCCATCTATAGTCATACATGTATGAGTTCATGATTACATAATCTGTATCATATATAAAATTATTCTCTAAATCTTTTTTGCGGTTTTACACATTTTGTAATCACAGCCTCAAGGTTCAGTATATTTATATACTGAACAAATTTCATGTGACAAACCAGCAAAAGGTGAAAATGATGCATTGTTTCCCATCTTCTCTATAAAAGAAAAAAATCTGAAAAGTGCGGTGTGCTCCTTATTGAGCTCCGGACCTTCTTCCTGCTGCATTGAAGAGCTGCTTGTCAGTGTGATTCGCAGTGTTACTTTTTCTACACTGTACTTATATTGATTACACAACCAATGGTGGATAACGTTTTATTTATTTATTTATTTTTTTTAAGGATGAAGCAGATTATGGAACAAGACAATTTATATTGAAAATAATAAAAGACACTTGCATTGTCTTGTTTCAAGTGCATTTTATCCAAATATCTTATTTTAAGAGCAAAAATACTCATTCCATTGGCAAATCCTCTTATTTACCTGCTCAAATTAAGGGTAAATACACTTCATTTAAATTTTTTTTTACTTATTTCTAGATTGTTTTTTTCCAGTGACTGAATGCATGCGCGTATCGGCTAATGCAAGGAGGAAAAAAAACAAAAACAAATATGGGCTGGCCAAAGTATCGCTCTAGCTCTAATGGTGATAACTAGACTGAATGATTGAGTGTTTGAGCTAAATACACTTTAAATCTTTTAAAGCTTAAAACTATTGAGAAATTGAAAACAAATCCCTGAAACATAAAGCAACAGGGGTTTGATGATAACATTTATTAAACAAACATAATGTAGTGTTCTAGCTGCTAACATACCTTCATACATAAGCTTGGTGTTTTTGAGTCCATCAGTGTCAGTTTTGCTGTCCTCAGCTATCTCTCCTTCCGAGGGCTCAGTCAGTCGCGTTATACACACCTCGAGTCCACAGACTAAACCAGAGCGGCAGTGCTGCTCGCCTGGAGGCGGCAAGATCTCCGCTCTGACGCTGTACAATGTCTGACAACAGGAAACAGACGAAAAGCTGCTCCAGTTAAATGTTACTTTTTTGCAACATGAAATTAACAGCATAACTTCAGGAATGAGGAAGAAGAAGAAAGGTCTTAGTGACTCACAGTGACTCTCTCTAGCTGAAACTGGTAGTGGAAGGGCTTGAAGGCAGAGGCGTCTTGGTTAAGTGGACAGAAGTTGGCTGAGAAAACACACTGCAGACAGGAGGGCAGGTCGTCCTTCCACCTCACCTCCCACAAGCAAAACACGCTGTGCTTACTGCAGAGAAGCTACATGGGGGCAAACATCAACACGTGTTAGGGATCAGTCATGTTCTGACTGCTTTAACATGATTTTTAACAGGTTTGCAAAAAATAAATACCACTTATAACTAATTCAAATCATAAAAGTAGTTAAATGATAAGACCAAAATGTTCTTAATGGATTTAGAAAAGTAACAGAGTAATAGGGCAACCCTGGATGACAGAAAAATAGAATAATATATAAAAAAAATATGAATGTATTCAAACATAGTTCAGAAAAAAAAATAGGATACTGTTAAAAAGTTGTACATTTACACCAGAAAATCACCACTTTCATTTTATGAAATATTAGAGGACTGCTGGCATTTAAATGTGATAAATGTGAGTTTGGTCTGACTTAAAAATGACAGAAACTATCTTGCTAAATATTGAATATTTTTGCCTTTAATCATAGAATTTTAAGTTTATTATCGTTTCAACATTGGAGAATTTTAAATTTTTTTTCTTGAAAATATGTGAAATTCATCTTTTTGGGTGAAAATGTACTTTGCAACAACATTTCTACTTTCTGCTTTTAAGGAACATTTAATCCCAACATGCCAGAGAATCCCTTAAGGATGATTAGCTGAATAACATTTACAGCGCACTATCTTCTGTTTGGAGCTTTTATTTGTTTCTCACCTGGTTTGTTTTAGTGTTTAAGGACTGTAGCTCCAAAGATGAATGCTGCTTCTCTGTCAGTTTCATGTCTGTCAGTGTGAAGTTCATATCTGACACGTTCTGCACACACACCTGGATGTACTTTCTGTGACGTCAGACAGAAAAGAAACTGATTAAAAGACCCAAACTATTTATTCAGTTAAATTCCTGCTTTCAGTTTATAAAATAGTAGTTCAGTTTACTAAGTACTAAAATATAATCATTTCAAAGTGAATCAGAGATAATTTCATGATCATGTAGACTCACCTGTTACCTGCTGAAAGCAGTGAGTGTTTGGTCTTAAAGGGGATGTAGAAGGTGAGGGCAAGCAGAGTAGAGTAGATCGACCACGGACAGTCGATAGACATCTGGGAACAGAAAACAAAGCTGTATAATCCTCCCAAGTTTCAGTCCTCGTCTCTTTGGTTATGTTCACATTGCAGGCCTTGATGCTCAATTCCCATTTTTTTGTGAAATCCGATTTTTTTTTTTCCGTTGAAAGTCACATTTCCAAATATGTGCGACTTGTATGTGATCTCCTGTGTGAACTGCAGTCATACAACACAAGTGTCCCGCATGCGCAGTTGAGGACGCAATGAAATCACAGGCCAGCCTGCTCTGTGTTTACGGAAGTAAACATGGACGGTTGTGCTGAAGCGCATCTAGCGATCTTTCCCAAGCATAAAAACTAAATTTTTCCAAGATGGTTAAACATAAATACTGCTCTCCGCATCATCGTCCGCCATAGTTGTTGGTTTTCTTGCTGCTTCTTCATAGCAAGATGCAGAATAGTGACCTTTGTCGGGTATTAATGCCGTTCAGGTCGGATGAATGCGACCCGGCCGTTCAGACACATGGCGCATTTAAAATGATCAGATTTGTATCGGATTCAGGACCACATAGCCAAGTGGCCTGGGAAAAAAAAAAATCAGATCTGTGTTGATTAGAGAGCCAAGAAAAGATCAGATACAGGTCGCATATGGGCCAAAAAAACAAGGGATTTGGGTCACTTCAGGATAAAGTGTGAACGTAGCATTTGTTCCTAAAATCTTTGTCTTGGTTCAGTCGATAGCATTCAGATTGCTCACAGAATAACAGAGATTTATATGCATAAACACTTGGATATGAGGGAACACCCACAGAGGTTCTATGTCTAATACTGACGCTCTGCTGAATGCGTCTAGATTTAATTAGGACATGTGGATAATTAATCAACAAACTAGACAAACAACAACTAAGCTGTTAATTTTCTACCGTTGAAGTCAAAATAATTCAAAGTTATTAGCTAAAGGGAAATATAATAAATAAATGTGATAAATACTATCATTAAAGATATATTCCAAAATATAAGATACTAATAAGATTATTAACAGAGGGATTGAAGATCTCACCCTTTGGTCAATGGCGGTCATTGGGGTGTCAGGATGGCTGTAGCTGCGGGGTCGATGGCGCACCTCCCCGTTGGTCAGCCTCTCGTTGGCTGGCCGCTCAGACCCGGAGGGGATGATACACAAGACCTCGAGCTGGAACTCAAGAACTTGGTAGGGAAGAGTGGGAGGTAGACTGATGCTGGTCACCTTTTCAGACGACTGGATGGACAAGGTGCTTTCACCCACTAACTCTGGAACAAGGAAAATATTTACAACAGAAATAAGTACTACAAATATATGTTGGGAAGCCCTCTATTTCTTGCCTAGTAAATGTTCTGAAAAACACATGCAAAAGAAAATATTCTCTCACAGAAAGAGAGTAAGCAACCAAAATCATCAATGAAAATCCATGGAAAACTGCATCAAAGCTTGATAAGTGCCTTTGGTCAAAAAGCAGCTACTAACCGGCATCGGGGCTGCTGATGCGCGCCGTGCAGCTGGAGGACGGCAGGATGGGCATGGTTTCCGTGTTGCTGAGCTGCAGAGCATCTCCTTTCTTCACAGTGTAGTGACCCGTCAGCAAAGTGAACTTTACCAACTGAGGCATACCGGCCAACAGAGGCTCTGTAGACACAGAGGAGCAGTGAGCTAAAGAACTAAACAAGCCATCTGTTTGTCTGTAGTGGAACCAAAAGGCCAGAAGGGAAAGTGTATTTCTAAGGCGTCTGAGGGCTGCTCCTTATGGGTGGATTTATCATTCTAAGACAGCCGAAAGTGACATTTCAATAGGAATGGGAATTGAAAACCGGTTCCTGTTCAGAACCATTTCCGATGTGATCCAATTCCACGGCACCATTTAACAGCTCGCTTAACAATTCTCTTAACGATTCCAGGCAGCACGACTTTTGTCACGTTTTTTTACGCAAGTTACCCACACAGCATTCAGTAAGCAAGTACGATGTGACCAGGCGTAAGTCTAGAAAAGCAAAACTCTAAGAAAATGGCATCCCATTGGTTAAACCGATCCAAAGTTTGGCTTCATTTTAAGGAAGAGAAAGGTGGCAACAAGGTGCTTTGCAGTCATTGCAAAGTGGTAATTACATCCGTGGGAGGAAATACATCCAACATGCAGAAACACCTGCGCACACAACATGGCATACATTTTAACGAATGCTGTGTTTTTGATGCCTTCCAGACAGAAGCTAAAGCTACGACCAGTATGGAAGGCAACTTGGTAAGTAGCTAGTTTTATATCACTGGCTGTGCTTAATGTGGTTCCTAGGAAATCATGTTCCATTTCTGGAAATAAACCCATTTCCTACCTCTCTTTGGGGTTATTAAGGGTTTGTGTCTTTCTCGTTAATCCACCCCTTCATTGCTAGCATGTTTAATCAGAACTACTGGTAGCTGGAATTCTTACATGATTCTAGCTATTGCAATATTAAATGTTACTAAAATTGAGTCCTACTGTGATTTGAAAATTGCGCTTTTCTAAATTTCTATATATTCAAATGCAATTAACTGCAGAGCCTAAGTCACATTCATCATTACTTCCATAAACGAAGCGCTGCTGTGTCACATATACATTATTTTTCCGTTCTCTTTAGTGTCCTGAATGTCTCAGACTTCGCATTTAATTGTTAACATGAGAGAAAACCACAAAAAGTATGGATTTAAAAATTTCTATTTAATGTTTAGAAATTTCAAAACATTAAACCATTAAAGCAGCATCTACAAACACTAAATTATAGCCAAAATAATTTTTGTTCTCGAAGCTGTGTGGTTAATAATCACGTTTGCACACCAAAGAGTTTTTTTTTGTCTTGCAAGATGGTTTGTTTTCGTGATAAAATGTAAAAAATTTCAAACCTGAAAGTGGCTCCACTGTGAGCTGGGGCTCCTGAGAATATACTTCATATCGGACCGATGGGTAAATAGGAGACAGAACAAACTGTACTTCCCCAACTGTGGCGCACAGCTGACGTAACGTGTAGGTACCTGGCTGCCCACTCTGGAAGAAAAAAATAAAATAAAAAAAAAATCAGAGAAAGGCTGAAAATCCTTAGGCAAAATGTGGACAGACAAAAAATGAAACGATAACATGTCTTCAATTTACTTTTTAGAGTAAGTTGAACATGAAGATTAAAAAACAAAACAAAAAATACAAAACAGAAAGTGCTTTACGGGAGCTGTGAAGGTGATGCTGTTGTTTCCAGGCTCCAGCTTGACATTCTGCACCTTCAGCATCTGTCCTCCTTCCTTCATGGCCACAGTCGGCGGGCTGACGCAGTTGGGCGTCTCCGGTGGGGAACCGTTTTCACGCCGCCGTATGATCAGGTGAGTGTTTTTACACACCACTCCTACAGAGCTGAGAGAATTGTCCGAGGGACTCCTGTCCTGAATCTCGTCCATTTCTAGCGTGGGACCAGCAGTTGTGGAGGAGTTAGGGCCTGCTGATGAGGTACCCGGTTTAAACTCTATTGTCCCTTGGTTTGTTTGCCTCGTTGCCCCCTTGGACCTCCCATGAGTCCCTCCGTGATCAACGTCAAAGTGAATGCTAGCAGCTAGTTGCTGAATACACACAGGAACAGGCATCAAACACCTGAGAGTGAGCTCCACCTGCAGCACGGCTCCTGAGTGCACAGAGGCGGTGGCAGGGTGGAACTGGAGTCGAGTCAACTGAGCGAAAACATTCATGCAGAGGGACACTTTGTGGGCTGTGGAAGATGGAAAAATAAAACATTATGGTGCAGGTCTTACATCTTTAATTATTTTACACACTTTCCTTGTATTTTACCATTTTCTTAATCCATCCATTTTAATTTGACTACTTTTGTTTTTTGACCATTTAGCTCTAAAGGCTAAAGACGCTGCGATTCTATCAGAAGTTATTTAAAAAAAATGACAAGTAGATTTCAATAGAACCCCTGCTAAGAAAGTAACAGACAATCAAATAAAGTCACCTAACTTTTACAAACATAAAGAAATGCATTTACTTTTTTTTTCATATATTTATCGTTACTGAATACTTACAAGGGTTTCCGGACCGGCCAGCAAAAGAGAGAATTTCCTGACAGAAGTGCTTCCTCTCCTCTGTGGAGAGGTTCACATCACCAGCCAACAAGGCACTGGTTCGCAAGTAGCTGCAGATGTTGTTAAGGAACCGGATCTATAAAATCACCTGCTTTAGAAGATCGTCTTTGTACATCTAATGACCTTTCAGGAGACCCATATACAGAAGGCATTCCGAAAGCCGGTCCAAGAGGGTCGCTGTCCTGCAGGTTTTAGAGGTTTCCCTGCTTTAGCACAGCTGATTCTGATGACTGCAGTTCAGCAAAAACCTGTTAATCGGCAATCAATGAAAATCCGCTGTGTAGAAGCAGGGAAACTTTGGGGATGCCAACTATACGGTGATGAAAATAAGTATTTGAACACCCTGCTAGTTTGCAAGCTCTTCCACTTAGGCTACGTTCACACTGCAGCCTGAAGTGACCCAAATCCGATAATTTGACCTGTATCTGATCTGTTCATGGCTGTCTGAACAACACACATTCGATACAAATCTGATATTTTTAAATGGCCAGGTCGCATTCATTGACCTGAACGGCATTAATGCCAGACAAAGGTCACTATTCTGGGTCTTGCCATGAAGAAGTGGCAAGAAAAACAACAACCATGGCAGACGATGATACGGAGAGCAGTGTTTATGTTTAACAATCTTGAAAAGATTGTGTTTTTATGGTTGGGAAAGATCGCTAGATGAGCTCCAACACTACCATCCATGTTTACTTCTGTAAACAGAAAGCATGCTGGCCTGGGACGTCATTGCGTCCTCTACTGCGCATGTGGGACACTTGCGTTATGACTACAGTTCACAAAGGAGATCACATACAAGTCGCATATATTTGGAAATGTGAACGGCAACGCAAAATAAAAATAAAAAAATCGGATTTCACAAAAACATCGGAATTGAGTATCAAGGCTTGCAGTGTGTGAACATAGCGTAGAAATCATGGAGGGGTATGAAATTGCCATTGTAGGTGCATGTCTACTGTGAGAGACAATCTAAAAATCACAATGTATGATCTTTTTAAACAATTTATTTGTATGATACAGCTGCAAATAAGTATTTAAACATCTGTCTATCAGCTAGAATTCTGACCCTCAAAGACCTGTTAGTCTGCCTTCAAAATGTCCACCTCCACTGCATTTATTATCCTGTATTAGATGCACCTGAGGTCATTAGCTGCAGAAAGACACCTGTCCAACCCATAAGAATCCAACTACTAACCTGGCCAAGACCAAAGAGCTGTCCAAAGACAATAGAGACTAAATTGTACACCTCCACAAGACTGGAAAGGGCTACGGGGAAATTACCAAGCATCTTGCTGAAAAAAGCAATAATTAGAAAAGGGAAGAAGCTAAACATGACTGTCAATCTCCCTCGGAATGGGGCTCCATGCAATATCTCAGCTCGTGGGGTCTCAATGATCCTAAGAAAGGTGGGAAATCAGCCAAGAATTACAGGGGAGTAGCTGGTCAATGAACACCAAGATTACCATGCCTACTGTGAAGCATGGTGGTGATAGCATCATGCTTTGAGGGTGTTTTTCTACACAGGGAACAGGGCGACTGCATTGTATTATGGAGAGGATGACCAGGGGCATGTTTTGTGTGATTTTGGGGAACAACCTCACTCCCTGTTAGAGCATTCAAGATGGGTCGAGGCTGGGTCTTTCAACATGAGAATGACTCGAAGCACAAAGCAAGGGTAACCAAGGACTGGCTCTAGAAGAAGCATATCAAGGTTCTAGCGTGGTTTAGCCAGTCACAAGATCTAAAGCCAATAGAGAATCTTTGGAGGGAGCTCAAACTGACTGATCTAGAGTAGATCTGTGTGGAGGAGTGGGCCAAAATCCCTCCAGCAGAGCGTGCAAACCTGGTGGAAAACTACAGGAAAAGTTTGACCTCTGTAATTCTGTATTATACAAATAAATAGACACACACACACAAAAAAAAAAATCATACATTGTAAGTTCTGTTTTTTTTTTTTTTTTTTTTTTTTAGATCCAATCTCTCACAGTAGACATACACCTACGATGACAGTAGTGATGATTTCTAAGTGGGAGAAGTTGAAAAATAGTAGGGTGTTCAAATACTTATTTTCCTCACTGTGTTTGTTATAAACAGAAGCTAAAACCAGATTTGAGCCAGAACTGGTAAATGTTTATCATCTACTTGTTTTATTCACTAATTAGACATGAACAATTCTTTATGTACTCTTCGTCTTTTTTTATACAGTAGAAAGAATGTCCTTATCCAAAAATGCCTGAATAGATTTAGTTAGTGTGTTCTTGTGGTTAGTCATCAAACAAGGATACTCTTCTGTTCTGCCCAGCAGTTTCTGACACTCTGCAATCTGCCTCCTGGTGTGCGTTACAGGAAGGCGCCAACCCTCCGATTCGTATGACTTCAAAGCCTCCTTCATGAAGGGTTCTGCCCGCACAGGGTCGCCCTTCCTCCTGTCAAAAACACAACCATGTAAACACACTCAAACATTTAGCTTGTTCTCCTATAGAAAACAATGCATAATTATAAATGTGTGTTTTTTGTATTAAGGATTTCTACAAAGACAAAATAAAACATATTTTCCCAGACTCAAATCATTACAGTTCTCAGCCTTTTTTAAGGAAGCCTCAATAAAAAAGTAAGTCATGAATTTCTCCTGAATTCAGCTAAGTTTTAGTTCAAATATATATATATGGATCTTTTTTTTTTTTTAAATAGCAAATAAAGTCTGAAAACTCCATAATGTTATAGACTGAGTGGAAAGAAACCCAGTTGGAAATTTTAGTATTGTAGACTTTCTTTATGACAGAGAGTGATATCAAATGAGTCTATATAAAGACCGTATTTACACACTTTCTTTACTTTAGATGCATCACATCAGCAGATGCAGATCACATTTTATCACTGCCACAAGTGCGGTTTTATTAGCAATCTAGTATTAGCAGAGCTCTGTTCTTAGATCACAGCAACGTAGATGCATTAAAGTAAATCTGATTCCTCCAAAATTCTCGTACAAAATGAAAACTATCTGACCAAACATCAGAGTCGTCTGTGGATATATGAGCAGTGTCTGTGCGGTTGCTCTGTGAAAAACTAATGTAGAAGCCCAGATGTGTTTGAGCATTCAGACAGGTGTGAACCCTTTCTTTTATCTAAGTGAAACTTGAGCTCATCTGTTCCTTACATGTAGAACTCGGCCAGGCTTTTCCCCACCAGTCTGGCGGACCTCAGCCGGCCGATTGCTTGGTACATTTCCATAGCAGCATGAGAGAGTTCCTGACGCAACAGCGAGCCAACAAGGGGGTGTTGAAAGATGATAAGTGAAGAAGGGAGGAGAGAGGAAAATTAAATTAAAATTTTCAAGGATATTACATCAGAAAATGTATTGAGTGAACAACAGGAGGAAGAATTTCTACTGAAATACAAGCTTAGAGTGAACAGGACTTACAAGATAGTGCCTTTCGAAGGCTTCGACAGATGACAAGGCTTCTTTGAGCTTTTTGTAAGGACTCTGCAAACTGTTGACTGTGGACAAAGACATTCAAAACAAACATGGTTACTTGATTCCTTTGATTTCAATACAGATTTTCATTTAATTTCTTTAATCGGGTGTTTTTCCTTTTGCTAAAATAGATTGCTTTTCTTTGATGTGAATTTACAAGCCTGACTGAAAATTGACTGAATCAGCTGGACTGCTATTGAGGAAGGCTGACTGCTGATGCAAAAAAAGTCAAAATAAAGAAATAAGAACATATGTAGGTGATGAAGAAATCTAAAGTGCGGTTCAAAAAAATAAAATAAAAACAGGCCAAACTCACCGGTTTCTGGTCTCTCATCCCCGAGTCCTGCCAGCAGATCCACGGTTCTATTCAGGTCCTCAGAAGTCGGCCCGTTTTTTGACACCAGGCCACAGAGTTCACCCAAACACTTCAACTACAACCACAAAAAAATAGAAACTAAGTACTGTTGCTTATCCTTTTTAAGCTTAGATTTTTAAATGAAATTTAAATACAAATTCTCTTCTATTAGTACATGATTTGTGACACTTGTATGAAGAAAGTGAGAAATTAGGAACTTAAAAGATCTGCATACGCTCTTATTAAAGATTTAAGATGTCTATTTTCTAAGTTTATACAGGTCCTAATTCAGAGTCAAACCAAAAACTGACTTTGGATTCTAAGCCTGAAGGTTTAATTATTATCTGTCAATCATTTAATATTAATTTAAGATATTCTCCAATTGTTTTTAAATTTCACTTCAGCCAAAAAAGTATTTCAGGCAACTGATATTATTTTAAATATTGCCAGAGTAAAGATGCTAGCAATAGCCTAGTACTCTGAGAGACCCCTTTATTTTACTTAAAAACAGGGGCTGTAAAACAAAACATGAGTTTATTTAGAACCTTACCCTAGTCTTGAAAGACAATAGAGACAGAGTTACTGAATAAGACTATCCTGACTAACTCATTTGTATGGATTACTAAAAATATCTCGATTGATAGATTCCTAGTAATTTTGTTTAGATAGAAAATAAGGGGAAAAAATCCTACTCTTATTATACAGTAAAGAAAAAAAAGACTGTCCAAATTTGTAAGTTTCTCAGCATATTGCTTTATACCTTGTCTGTAGCGTAGGCCCAGAGTCCCACAGTATGGGAGCAGCTGGCGGCTAACTGAACCGGATCGCAGCATCCCTCGATTCTGTGCAGAACCTCCAAACAGCTGAGGAACACCCAACAGTCCAGCGCCCCGTCGATCACAGAGACCTTAACGAAGAAAAAAAGCATTTTAGGAGTTACGTGGTATATGGTGCGTGACGAATGCAGGGGCTGAGTTTACCTCCAGCAGCCGAAGCTCCTGAACACAGTTGTGCAGCAGCTCTAAGGCTCTCTGGGTGACCTCCCATGGTCTCTGCAGGAAGATAAGTAAAGTGCACTGGCGAGAGAAGAGGTAGCTTCTCAGGTCTAAAAGGCTGGCCTCTCCTCGTTGGATGCTGTCCCTCTTTTCCATGTCGATGGGCCGCCGAAGCAGCAAGCCGCTCCAGTTACGCACCGGGGCGCAGAACGAGCCAAGCCAGTTAGCCGTATCTGAGGAAAAATAGCTAGTCAGAACCAAAAATACACCCTACCTCCAATTATCACTGTAAATGGGATACTTGAATCTAAATAATACTACAGAGAACCCACTTACCTCCTGCACCAAAGTTTAGGACATACTGAGTAAAAAGAGCATCTAGTTCATCATACTGGACTAAGGCATCCTCAAACTGCTGCAGCATCTCGAAAACAAAGGCCAGCTCCTCCTGCATGATCACAGGCATTACAGAAAGCACGTCAGAGCACATGCAGGGCAGAAAGCTGATAATAGTGATTAAAGATACTGAGGGTACCTGAACCATGAAATATTCACAGAAGCTCCAGCCAGGCTGAGTGCGTTTCTCTCTGAGAGTGCGCATGTCGTCCTCAAACCGACCAAGGTTTTTAGTGAACGACATGAGGAGGAGAGTCCGCAGCTTCAGCAGCAGGGCATTCCAGGATTCCAGGGACCGGGACGAGTCCTTCAGGGGGTCAGATAGAACCACACACCTGAGCAAGGAAAAAATACAATAAGAGAAATATTTAGAATGAAAAAATGTCAAGAATTAGTTTTGTATGGATCTTATAACTAGAATCATCTAAAGAAATCAAAGAATGAGATTTTCTGCCTTTCCCCCCCCCCAAGAAAACTACGGACTATCTGGGGATGATCAAGACAGAAACACATGTCAAATCCAGTCTACGTTAACAAGACGATGACAAAAGGGTGAAGCATCAACTAGTTGTAGACACACATTTAAATCCCAGGGTAGAAACCGAGCCTCACGCTCAAACTGACAGTTTAACAAAACGAGGAAGTGCTTGATAACAATATGCTGTGTGGGAAGTCGACCTGTTTCTCGTTTTCAGACACGTTTTTTTCTTTGTTGGAAGCAAATTGTTTGAATTGGAGAAGCTTGCTGACCTGTCGTTCTGCTTGTTGCAGAAGTCGCTGCGGATCTTGTCCACGATGGAAGAGCGAGGCAGGATGTTTGGCTTGTTCTTCTTCTTGGTTTCATTGCTTTCAACAACAATGATGACCCAGTCCGCCGAGCTGTGACTCCGAAGGGTGTTCTGCCAACGCATCATGTCCTCCTTCACAGAGCTCTTGTACGTTTCTGTGTCCTATAAAAAAAGCACAGGTTTTATTAGTACAGCAGGTGGTCATGTGTTAAAAGCTGAGTGGGAAAAAAAATCTCTTTACTCTGGCACATGGCACTGGGTAGGTCTTTATAGTTTATGAAGGTGATGTTGGATTGATTAGATATACAGTGAGGATCAAAGAGGATTTAAAAGCAGGGGATTGGATTGATGGGACATCACACCCCGTTTCTTTCATTGTTTATTCGATTTCATTCAACACTTTAAACATTTTTTATTTTTTCTCTGACGTGAGACAAACAAACCTACAGAGTCTGCACACCCTACCATATCCACGGCTGATAACTGCTGAGGCTCTACCGTCTGTGCTTTTATTTCAGTCTCATCCGTGCCGTTAGCAGAGAAGACCTTCAGCTTTGGTTTGTGGATTTTAATCGGGCTTTTTCCTAACAATCATTTGACAATGACTTTACAGGCACATCTCAAATAATTAGAGCAGTGTGAAAAGTTCCACATTTTTATGACTCATTTCAGAAACAGAAACTGATCTACAGAAATCATTTCAAGCATTTGCTTCCTGTAATTCTAAATATTATTATTCATACATTAAAAAAGTAGATCTCCTGTCTTAAATACAAAAGTCAGGCTTCTCAAAAGTAAATACTTTACAATACTTCTATTTCATGGAATACGTTTTCTAAAGCTGGGTAAGATGTTAATTACATCTTCGCCTGTACTATCAGAGCAGTGGAAGGAATTTTTCCTCAGTAATGTGTGTTTTGCAAAGTAACAAAAAATGCTGCAGCAAAGCAACAAAACAATGCTGCGGATCAAGTGTGACCATTTCCCTCAATCAAAACCACCTACCATAAATCCTCTAATATTGGCCTGTATTCCATTAGCTGCCGGGTCTCTAACAATGGCCGGTCTCTCTGTTGGCGGAGGTAAATAATGGCTGGAATCGTATACAGGCCGGGGCTATAATTAAAACCAACAATGTTCCTGGGCAGTCCCTACTTGTAATAGTAAAATAAAATTACCACAGAGGGGCAATGTTTGCTAACGAATCCAAGCCGTTAGCATGGGGAGTCCCATGCTTACACCGAGATCGTAGTGGCCTTACACAATCGTTCCAATCTAAAAGACGCATGTGATTACCGGTAGGTCTGGCGTTAACCAGGCAGCGTTAAAATGACAGACTTTTGTTGGCCTTCGTTGTTCTGATTTTCCCTTGAAATATATGATATGATAGCCTACTTCCAGTCTCCAGTTTCCGTTAACTGTCCCATTTTTTTTCCAACTTTGTTTTGCAAGTCGGTTTGGCCAAGATTCCATTCTGTGTAGGCTTTTTTACCCTCGTATTGCCATGCAGAAAAATTGCAGCTGCTGGAAGATGTCTGAATTACCGATATTTGTTGATAATGTTCTGTATACAGTTATGTTGACTGTAATTTTTCAATAAATTACCCTAGTATTTTATAGGTTCAAAGAGACACAAAAAATTGTTTTATTCATTTCACTGGTAGTCTGTTATGCTCAAATAGAAAGAGAGGCCTGTCCCTAATTCTGGCCTCCTTCCAATAATGGCCTGGACCTAGATGTATCTGAGTGACAGAGAGGCCCCGTCCTATATTAGAGGATTTACAGTATATCCAAAGGACTGATGTGACTGGAAATTCCTGCATCAAGCATCCTGACTTGGCTGAAGCTCCAGAGAAGCATTCGTTCTAAATTACTTGGAAATGTAGAGGATTTAGACATAATATGAATAATTTGTTATGTAACCTTCGACGGGGTGGGGGAGAAATCAAGCCCTCTGGAGAAGAAGCAGTGCTTTAAAAAGAAAAACAAGCTGAAACCTGTGAATCATTTCCAAATCACTGTTGTTTGTGATCAGTTGGTGATCATCAATGCTGCTGTGCTCACATTCAGAATATGTTTGTTTTGGAAGTATTAATTTAAAGTACTATGGAGGGTCGTGCTTGATTAAAAAAAATGTTTGCTTGAGATGACATTAGGCATGGAAACACGAGACTTTAATGAAATGCGATTTGTGCTGCCTGACTTTCCTGTGACTGAATCTCGTGTTTTTGCTGCTTCCTGGTACCACAAGAAGTCAAATGAGTGTTTGGTTTTAGCAGAGCCATAGATGCCTGTATCACACAGCTGGAGAGGCTTTTATCAGGTTCGCTGGTTTACATTTAAAGCGTGCACCGCCAACAGGTCGCATAGTTAGGAACACTAAACACCTGTTCTCCTCCGTCCTGGCATGCAGAGACCACAAACTGTGCTTCATTTTGGAAAGAACTTTAATTTCAAAGTGAATCACCTCGACATTGTTGAAGACATGTAATCTGAAAAGGGGACATATTGTTTTGCTTTTTTATATTTTCTAATGCATGAAATGAAAAAATAAGCAAATTTATTCCTCCTCCAGCTGTGACTATATGTTGTGCCACAGAGATGTTGTCTGAGTTGTAAAGTGTTTTACAGAAAGCTAAAAACTAAAAACCTGTGCCAGGATCTGAAGCTGTAAACACCTCACTGCTGAATGTGAAAGTCCGGACACAAATTAAACCAATATAGGTTGTCATACAAAAACTACAAAACTTTTTACATTTTGTTAAGTTGCAAGATTTTTCCCGCATTCTATGTATTTTACCAGGATTATAAGTTATGGATCAACAACAAAATATTGCATAATTACATTAAGAAGAAAATCCTTCATGCATTTCAACATCCCCAAATGTTTACTCTACATTAGATTTGTACTGTAAAAAGTGTTGTTACTCAAAGATTTACGATGAATAATTTGTGGTTTATGAGATCAAAATATTGTTAGGTCCAATAATTAAATATATATACTTTAGGTTTTTCTTTCAGTGTTGTAGTGTAACTGCCAACCTCTAGAGGGTGCAGCTGTTCATCCTTAAATTGAGCCTCACTGGTATATGCAAGAGAAGGAGTGTCAGACTGAAAGCCCGCTAGAGCAGAAACAGATTTCGATTTGGAGTCTGGTGACATTTAGTGGATCGATAAGATGAATTAACTTTCAATTATTTGATAATTTCCATCGCTGGTCTGCATTTGTATCTCGCTGAGGCTGTGCTTTCACTATCATTACAGCTGCCAGTCTCTATACCAGATCGGCACATCTACAAAGTGTACATTTCTTCCTCATTCTTTGAAAGTTTTCTCAGGATGGAGAATGTTTGGGAATATCTATGTCAAGCATTTCTGCAGATTTTCAATTGAATTTACTTCTACATGTTGATTGAGACAAATGAAAATGAAAAAATGAAAATAGAGACAAACTATTCCATAGTAGCTCTGACCGTTTAAGTCAGCTGAATGACAGGCCTACCTAAAATTCAGTACTCTATCAATATGCATGAAAGTATTCAACATGGGATACCTTTTTCAATACCATGGGGATAAAAAAGCCTAACAAAAACTCATGAGATTTGTTTTAGTCTCAACATGGAAAGGCCTTATCAAAATAATCTGAGATACTGGTAGTTAAATAATTGTTCAAATAAACGCTAAATAAATAACCCAAACATACTAAATTTGACAATATTTTAAGATCATTTGAGGTATTATTCTTTTAATGTGCAAATAATTTAGGAAAAACCCCGAAAACGAACATTAACATAAATATGCAAAGAACACTTGTATTTGCTATTGATACCATGCTAAAACAGTATAAAATCTATATACAGTGTTTAAGTATGTATACGTTTGACAGCTTTACCTTCTAAAATGTTTCTTGCAAATACTTCAATGTATTAGTCTCCCTTTGTCTTAGTCTCCCTTTGTCTTGTATTAAGCTCTTTTATTACCAGTTACCCTGACGTAGATAAATACCAGTGTGCTCACAGCGTGATGCTATTTTTACCACCATTTGTTTTCACCGTGTGTTCAGGGTGATGCGCAGAGGTGGAGTTCTGCCAAACTCAGTGATCTGCATGCAACTCAAAAAGTGAAAAATCTAAGCAAAGCACAATTTTCAAGTGTTCTTTATGTTCACTAAAAACAAACCAGACTTCTTTTTTAACTCCAAACTTTTAATTAACTGATGGACTTAACATATTTGTAGCTTTGCAGTTTCCCATTTTCTGAGGATGCATCAAAAAGTGTCCAGACATTTTATAAGCTTGGGATATCGTTTACACTAATGTTCTGCAAAAAAACCTGATGTATACACAACAGCTGTTTTTTTACACTGATTAAATTAAATTCAACTCTGACCTTGAATTATTTTCTAGGGGTATCAGAGTAAATTTTTTTTCATTTACCCTCTTTTATGGTACACTTTTTAGATTTCGACACCCTTCTGCTTCCAATTATGCACTTTTTTGCATCGCAAACAACTGCAACATCACAAAAGGCTCATGGAGGGAGGATAATGTTTGAAAGGACCTGTATGATGAATCAATTAATAAGCAAACAAAAAAGGGAGTATGTTAAATGTGCAGTTGTAGTTCTAATGTGAACAGCTACATTTTCAATCTCACTTTAAAAAAGATTATGTCTACCATTGGTATTAAACATAAATAGCTCAGTGAGATAGTCTTTTTCCTTTTCTTCAGGTTATAATGTAGGGAGTGGAAATGTAATTCTCAGGAGCTTTTAAGTGTATTGCTGTTAAGGTGTGGGTGTATCCAGCTTAGGTTTATGAGTCCAAACACTAAACACACAGCAGTTGGGAAACGTCATGAGTCACACGCTCCTGACAGAACTTCCTCCACTAAACGAGCTGCTCAGTCAGCAGCAGCAGGTTCCTGCCTCTCTCTGATTTACTTCAATCTGTTTCTGTTTCCCAAAGGTGAATGGAGAATGTGGAAATATTACAATGGTCGACTGGTGAAGATTCTCAGTCATCCAGGTCATAGTCATTCCAAAAAACAGAAAATTACAAACAAACCACTGGACTTTGTTTCCAAGTTTGAAGACATTTTTCTTCCCATCCAAGAAGCTTTTTCAATTCAAAAGGTCAAGAATTGCGTTGAGTCCCAGGTTTTATACAGTAGCCTTGTTTTTTTTTGTTTTTTGCTTGTTTTGTACATTTTCAAAACAAAAGCAAGGCTTTGTTGGGCTGCTTTATAAAACCTGGAACTCAACGCGATTCCTACAATGGTAGAGTTTAATTAACATTTATTAGAGGAGAAAACTCTCTTCCCGGTCACAAGACGTCCAGAAATAGACTGAATTCTTCATCTGAATGTCTTCTAAAAGGAGCAACTTTCACAGATTTATCTTCCTATAAAACATAATTCTTCTAATGGGTTTGCCATGCTGTCTGTTGTGTATGCTAGACACATACAAAGACAGAAAACAATATAAAATGGGTATTTTCCAAATGTGGGCCATGTGGTTAACAAGTTATTTCGATGCCAAGTCTTTGTTATGAGTCCAATCTGGACATTTTAACTCACTATGCAGGTTAGACTCACCCGGTTCATTAGCTGAGCAGAATAAACACATGATATAGAGATGACTTGTTTAATCCACATCTCCTACCTCTGAGATTTTCGATTACAGGAGAAACTGATTTTTAAGAAACCTGAAAACCCTGAAAGGAATATGAAGGTTGTTCCTCCGGATGAACAAGGAGGAGTAATCGTCAGTGTGTGTGTCTGGGCATGTGGTTTTTACATAGTGGGGAACATTTTCCATAAATCATAGCACATCCTGGGGGGTGTTTGCTCTAGTGGGGACCAACGTCTGCTCCCCAGGAGTACAAATACTGTTTTGAGCTTAGGTGTTATGTTTAGGACTTAAGGACAATTTATGCTTCTGACGCATAGCCTCTGCAACCGTCAAATCTGTCTGTGTGACCACGCCCCCCTGCGCAGAGGTTCTGCAACTGTCTTCGCGAACCTAAAAAAAATCCTGACTATGCGTCGGACGGTCGCAAACCCGCGCAGACCTCAAGCAGAAGTGTGCAGACAAAAAGCAGCTGTGATTGGTCCTTGGTATGCCTTTCCGGCTGTCTGTGTGGTCGTCCTTCTCGATTCGGTGCCAGGGCGCGTCATTTTTAAAAACCAAGTAATAACAACAACAATGGACAACTACGACGAAAGGTTAATCGAGGAGGTTTGGAAGTAAAACCACTTGTACGATGCCTCAGACAAATTATATAAATAAATATATCATCTTCGATGTCTCGCAACTTTAGATCCATCTCCGTGATATCTTGCAGCTGCTCTAATGTTGTTTTGGAAGATAAACACTCCTGCCGGAACCGCCAAAGTTCTCGTGACCATCCACCGAAGTTCTCGCGAGTTCTCAAATAGGGTCCACCTTACGTTTTGGTGGGAAACTGCTGTACGTCCCTAGAAATTCCAGACTGACTGTGCAGAACCATACCAGCAAAACTGGTTCACAATCAGACGCAAGTGACATTTTATGTGTGCGGTTGCAGAAGTATAATCTGCCCTTTAGGTGTGAATTGAATTTAGGTTGGGGTTAGGGTTGGGTATTAGCCCATAACGGTTAGGTTTAGGCTAAGGGTCACAGTTAGCCTTTAGAAATGGTTTAGAAATGACTTAAAGCCAAATTAAAGTAGCCATAAGGATAGAGAAACATGCTTGAGTTTGTGTGTGTGCGTTTAGATCTACTCACACAGCAATCCGTCCAGTAGATGTGGAGGAAGGGGAACGTGAGAAGAGCCTTGTTGCCCTCCTTCGGGAGGAGCTCCTCCTTAAACTGGACAAAATTAGCTTCAAGGTGGATCATTTTTGGAGCACGACCGTATGTCCTGCACAGCAGACAAAGCAGAGTTATATGGCCTCATTTTGCTGCAGTGGTCATCAAAGTGACACGACTTTATTTGCTTCATGAAAACATATACAGAACCTGTAGACCATTATTCAACAGTAGATCAGCAGCTCTTTTACAATATGACCTCCTTACATATTGAAAGGGTTCTTTGTAGCCATTTTTGACTTATAAAATGATAAATAATCCTAATTTTAAACTGCATCAAACCACTTTACAATAAAAAAAGGAAATAAAGAAAACACCTACAGACAAATCAAGTCAACTACATAGTTCACCTACCAGTTGATCAATCATCGAACCATGCAATTTAGTTCAGTTTATTATTCAAATAAGTTCATAGGTTTTCTATGTAAGGAAACCCTGCAGGTTGCATTGGCTCATATACTGCCAGCATTTCCAATGTGTTTAAAAAAATGTGACTGGATTTCCCCATCCAGACTAGATCTTGTGCATGTCTTGCAAAACTGCATTTTCTTTGTTTATCTTTCTTTCACAGTTTTAAGTATTTTAAAGTAACAATCATAGTGAAACAGAGACTATATTTGGCTGCTGCAGCTTCCTGCCTTTATGATCTGCTGTTCTCATGTATACTCAGCTTTCGATTTCGATTAACTTATTTATCTTATCTTCACTCTTTAGTGCTGACTCACTTTAATGTAATCACAACCTTAATATAAATGGTATAACAGTTTTTTGTATTTTTTTCTTTTCCAAAACAGCCAGTAGTTTATAGCTTCTTTCCTAAAACGCTAACCAGGTAAAAACATGTTTTAACTGCTTAAACATAAATAAACTTATTTATGCAAACCACATCATTCAGAGTTCACAAGGGGAACAGCGCAGTTATAAAACTAATGATAAGATCATATCTGCTGCCATATTTGCTGACACCAAAGTAGGAATCAGCGCTTCACTGAGACCATGTGACAATGTGTTTTGTTGCTACAGCTTTGAAATTTGAAACCTGTTGAAGTTGAAAACTTAAGACCAGTTTAAACCCTTTTATTCTGATGTGGCGTTACTGAATTGGCAGCTTTTCATCAGGTATCAGAGCTTCTCATAGGAACTTTTTCTTTTTCTAATCCAAGCCTCTAAAATGGGGGGACTTTGGCTAACAGATAACTAAAAGGCTTTAGTAGCTGCACCATAACTCTCCTTTCTCACCTTGTTTGACCTTTTTTCAAATAATTAAATACAATGCAACAATACATCTATTAATAATAAGAAAAATAATAAACATAATCAGTCTGGAGACCATCGATAATTTTTCCTGAAATAGAGGTTGGTTACTTTTCCTATAATAATACTAAACTATAAATCAATCTCTCTGGTTCCTCTTCTCAATCCTCAGTAAATAAATCTACCAATACTGGTTCTATGCTCATTGCTGCTTTAGTACAAACCATTATTTGAGGTTCATTACTGGTAGAATGAGCAATAATTTGTCTCAAACCAGAAAAGATCTCTTCAGTGATCAACTCAAAATGTTTCAGTCCCCTGGCAAGCTTAAAGGAGAATTCCGGTTTTTAACACTTTTAGCCCATTTTCTGTAGTGTCCAGGATGAAATCGAATGATCGACACCAAAATTTTGACAATTGGTCCTGTCTCTGCTTTTTGGCTCATGCAGAATCCACCCCTGGCTGCTTCAGAATGGCTTCCATAGTGCATGTCCGATAATGTCCTTAAAACAACCTTAAACGTTCTTTTTTTTAAATATGCTACTCACCGGGTCGTCAGCGCTGTTCAATGATGTTCCAAAAAATGTTTCGTAAAGAAAAAACGTTCCTGTAGTGTTTTATTTAGCATTTTGTAAATCCCATTGAGTTCTGTTGGAATAGTCAATATTCCCCTGCCACCGGAAACGGGGCCTGTTTACACAGTTGTAGTCTTTTCGCTTCACTCTGTGTACTCCGACGTCGAGAATCAAGAATCCACCTTTCGTATTCCATTTTCAGAGTTTTTTAAAGTGTTTAACAGAGACGTTAGCACCTCGACGTTGGAGTACAAAGAGTGAAGCGAAAAGACTACAACTGTGTAAACAGGCCCAATTTCCGTTTCCGGTGGCAGGGGAATATTGACTATTCCAACAGAACTCAATGGGATTTACAAAATGCTAAATAAAACACTACAGGAAAGTTTTTTCTTTACGAAACTTTTTTTGGAACGTCATTGAACAGCGCTGACGACCCGGTGAGTAGCATATTTAAAAAAAAGAACGTTTAAGGTTGTTTTAAGGACATTATCGGACATGCACTATGGAAGCCATTCTGAAGCAGCCAGGGGTGGATTCTAAATGAGCCAAAAAGCAGAGACAGGACCAATTGTCAAAATTTTGGTGTCGATCATTCGATTTCATCCTGGACACTACAGAAAATTGGCTAAGTGTTAAAAACCGGAATTCTCCTTTAACCTGCACTTCAGTTAATTTCTGCAGATAATGATTAAATATAAATTTTTTATTAAACGGGGCATCTTAAAAAACATGCTCCATGACTGAATCCGGAAAATAAAACAGAGGAAGACCTCAACAGCAGCTTCCTGTAGTAGTGTCTTCATTGAAAGCGGTAAGAAAAGTGAGCTTTCTCACTCTTCTCCCATTTATGTTTCAGTCTGGAAAGTTTCTGTGACAGATTTGTCAAATTATCCTCCAGAGTGACTGACTCTCCTCTAACATCTATAAAACAGCGCTGCCAGAAAGTTACCAGCAAGAGGAAGTGATCTCTGCCCTGACTTACATCACGTTTCTCTACAGGAGCTGAGATTATATTGTTCCTAAGATTAGATTGTTAAAACACTTTACATTAAAGTATTTCTTCGTTTATATTTTAACTCTTCACTATTACGTTATTCTTATAAATTTTTCTAAGGCCCACATGTTTGTGACCATTTTTTCTATAATCATTTTGCTGCTGTAAACACCAGAATTTCCCCATTGTGGGATAATAAAGGGATTTTCTATTCTATTCAATAAATCAACCTCATAGTCAGTAACAGTGGTTTGTGAAAATTGTATATATTTACATTTATAAATACTGACATTTTTTTTTTTTTTATCTTCTACCACAAAAAAAAACAAGATGTTCTTTATATTTTCTTAGTATTTTTCTCAGGTTCAATATAATATTTTACTATAATAGATTTATCAAACCAAAACCCACCTCCTCCACTCCATCGGCTCCCTGGGAAGCTGCTGAGCCAGTGAGGTATAAAGAGACGTGAACAAGCCCTGATCTCCAGCACCTAGGATGAAGAGACACAAGAAGGTGTAAAACTGAGATCCAGAAAAAAGTAACTTAAGAAAAAGTAACTTAAGAAAAACAACAACAAAAAAATCCGACATAAATAATCTTTTCTTAAAGAAACAATATTTCAAAGATAAAGCTAAAGCAGAGAGTGAGAGGAAAGTTTAAACATAATTTTTTTTAAAGCTGTGATTTGATTTCACACCAAATGATCAATTTAAACAATCAACTATTATTTAGCTTGTTGGTTAATCTTTAAATCGTTTTTTCAATCATTAATCAGATTTTTATAATGCTGCTTTATAAGAGAATTTGAACTGGTTAAAATTAAAACTATGAGTAGTGAATGGAGAACACATTTATAGAATTTAGAAATAAAGGTTCTTCATTAAATGCAAAGTTGTGCGTTTTCCACATTTTTTTATTTTCTACTCCAAACCACCTGTTCTAATGATAAAAACATAACTAAATTAGTTGATGATTCCTTCAATAATAAAATAGCAAAGGACTACTGAACATGAACTCTTGAGCAAACCATGACAGATTTAACAAAAATGAAAACACGTATCAGCTGGTGGCAGGTGTGTAGAAATGAGCCATTTGCAGATCAACGTTTCAACTATTTAAGCTAAAGCAGCACAAAAACGGGAATGTCTCATTCAAATCTAGTAATAAGGAGCTTATTATCATGACTCAAAACAGGCAAACATTTAAAAGAACAGACCCTAAATGCCCCACCATCTTTTTAAAATTTCACTGATTAGCTTCTTTTTCTTGCAGACTACTAATATGAGATAAATTTTTCTCCACTGTGACCATAAATGCTCAAATTAAATCCTTTAGATTTTGACTTTATTCTATTGAAATATATTCACATCACTCCTTTGTGCTCATTTCGAACAATATCATTGAAATTTCCTTTTGTTGCGGTTAGCATTGTGTTATTATAGTAGAATTGACTGGGGTCCAGTCAGTTATATTCTCGTCTGCTTTTGATCCCTTCTCACATTAAAATAAGAATTTTAGCTCAAACGGTTAATCAAATGAAAAAAAAACAAAAAACAAAACCTTTAACTAATTTCAAATTTAAACACGTTCTTGTTGTTGTTCTTTGTGGTAATTTCCAGAATGTGGTTAAGCTTCTGAAAACGGAGCCAGTCACCGCAGTCATCATCATGTTATTACTACAGTTAGCGGTTTGGTGTGCAGCAAATGAAGCATGTTCATACATATATGAGATGAAACCCTCAGTGTGGAAAACAACAGCTGACAGAAACAGACTGTAAAAATCTGCTGAGGTTGACCACTTCTGAACATCCATTTAAAGGTTTCCAGACCCCAGGGATTCCCATAAATAACATTGTACAAGCTCCCTATATTCCTTTATTTACTTCGGATGCCGGATAATCCAGTTGCATTCCCAGCCTAAGGAAACCTTCAAAGGAGAGCTTTTTACCAAGATAAGCTTTAAAAAGCTGCCAAAACAAAATGTTGACCAAACAGCTCCGGTTTATAAGGGCCCACAAAACAACCTAAAATTTTGAATTACAACAAAAAAATATCTTAGAAATGAACTTGCTAATTAAAGATATAGTGGGGGGTTTTCTAGAATTTTTGAAAAGACCCGCCCTCTCCACTTAAAGACAAAAAAAATGTACATGCACAACCCTGTACCCGCTCCTGAGAGGGAACGCCTATTAAAGAGAGCATGCACAAGCCCATTTCTCTTTAAAAGTTGCCGTTTGCATCTCTCATACAAGCTTATTTTCCCAAAGAGGATTTACAATTTTTACGGCATTAGGTAAACGTATCACCAGAATGACTGACAGTTAGGATGACCACTTATTTTTTGATGATCCACCCAGAAATAAAAGATCGTACTGTATACCTTTAACTTGCATTAATCTGTTTTCTGTCTTCGGCTTATTTTCTTTTTCTTGAGAGCCTCCTTCTAAAGCCATTTCCATAATAAAACTAACAAAAAGAGTCATAAATAGGGCTGCAACTAGAGATTATTTCACAAATCGATTAACCTATTAATCTGACTTTCAAACTAATTAAACCGGGTGAAACTCAAACTTTTCCAATTGAGGACTTCTGGATAGAGCATAGTAACAGACAAAATATTTTCTTATTTTTTTTTTATCTTAAATGCAAAATGTTTCTATATATATATATATATATATATATTTGTTTTTTGTTTTTTTTTCCTTTTACAATCTTGGTATAATTACTGCTATAAGTAGGGCACTGTGTCAGCTAAAGACATATCTCTATACTCCAGTTAATGATTTTTTGATTACTGAATTAGTAGATGAATATTTCAATAATCGATTAATCCGATTAATTGTTTCAGCTATAATAATATACTCATCATCATTAACAAAAAGTATAACTTACAGGGTTTGAAAACAGGAGTTGTGACAGGAAGGAAAATAAAATTCCTTAAATCATTACTATTATTACTCCTTTAATTTTCAAAGCCGGCTAGAAAAGTTAGCCAGTGGTGACAAAAACTAACATGGCCAATCAGCAGCATAACACTCAATCCTCAACAATACCCACGAAACAAATGCTAAAAGATGTTTTCTACCTTAAAACCTTTAAAGGTTCTCACCCTCACCCGCATTAAAGACTGTCACCAAATATTTTCAGGTAACAAGGTCCTAAATGTATGATGCCGTAATAGTTGCAAACCATTTTGTCATCCTTTGCAACATGGATATTCAAAACAGTAATATTGTAATAATATATTTGATCAGTTTGCTTCCACTCAATGATTATGCACGATCCTGTTGGCTTTAAAAATTCGGAAATGCAAGAATTTTAGCTTAAATGTAAAAAGTTAGTGGCTATTTTTGCTACATAAAAGGTTCACAAAGTTTTAACAATGTGTATCAATGAAAGCAGCCAAGCCTCAGGAACACAAAGGGTTCACATACCTCCATTTAAATGCACTCCCTTTTTAATTGCATAGTCATCAAACAAAACACAGCTGGAACAATGCAGATATAAAAGCTCTCAGGTGTTGTAAAATACATGCACAAGGCACCAGATGTACCCATTAACAGACTGAATCATGCGACTCAAATCAACAGCACAATTATTTTACATACAGAATAGTTACGTTTGGGCATTTTCTTAAGTTCCCGTTTAAACAGGTAAAAAAAAAAAAAAAAAAAAAAAAAAAAAAGGCCCCCGTTAGCCTTCACGTTGCTCTAAACAGAACCAGTGTTGCTACAGTTTCAGTGTGATGGACTAAAGGTTCACCCTCCTAAATATAACCCTGGGTTCACCTTTGCTCTCTGCTCACATAAAGGTTTTTGAAAGTCATGTTTAAGTAAAAGCAGATATTTGAGGTCCTTGTTAAATGATGTCAGTCATTAACTACACTTATCAGTCAGTCAATTTTAACAGTTAAACCATTGCTCTAATAAATCCGTCTTGTCCTAAATGTAAACGTCTTCACTCTTCATAACGACATTCAAAAGTGAGACCAGCTGCTGCCATCACATATCTTCAGTTGTAAAAAGTTAATGGACTGTATTTCTGATGTTTTTATGTTTATACTGACAACTCAGAGAACTTCACGTTATAGCTAAAGTCATCCAAACACAGCTGCAATAATTAGCCGATAAGCATATCAAATTGCAACTTGGGGTTAAATGCCTTGCCCAAAGCCCATTGATATGTGATAGGAACAAGATGGAATAGAACCCTCAACCTGACCATCAAGAAGACTACTCTTTAAGGCTGATTTATGCTCAGAAACCAGGTTGACTGCGCCGCAGGTATTGCAGATATACCCCCTCCGCTTCCACAGACACTCTTGTGCACCTCTCCAAAATTGTAGGTGAGAGCAGACAGGAGGCTACTGATTGGTCAAATCTGTATCTGCTCCACACTATCAAGTTTTCCTGTTTGGTACCTTACCGGCTTGTTATATTTGTACGACCACCGTTTAGGAAAACGACTCGTGAAGTTGGACCAGCTAGAAGAGCGAGGTGCGCGAGAACGCTGGAACCCTTTTTCCACCTGGATCCCCGCTCTTTTTCACTCTCATGTCCCTCCGTTTTCAGACAAATTTGCCCCCACTTCCTCACCGCCTCTGCCGTATCTAGACCCACAGCTGGATTGTGATTGTCCCTCTTGCGTTGTGGCGTGGAATAACATAGCACAGACCACGCTTCAATACTGGGCATAAATCAAACATATCTGTGACCACCTCACTGCGACACCCTGCTGCGGGAGGATAACCAGCCCTTAAACCCCCAGGCACAGTTACCGCCGGCTAAGTAAGCTTTAACACTTGTCACTGACTTGGCTTTTAAAGCCAACTGGCAGATTTATGGAGCTAGGGTACAACATTTTCTGAAGGTTTTGTAGATGAATGGGAACAAGACAAATGCCACAATTCTAGTTTTCAAAGTACACCTTCAAGACAGCAAGCAGATGTAGCTTTTAGCATACTACTTCAACGAACTGGTCCTATTAAAACTGCATAAGCAGGATTGAGATGTACGCTAGATGAGGATGGTTTCACTACAGTCAGATAAACATTAAGAGAGGACTGACAAAGCATCAGAGGTGAAGTAATTATAGAACACACTATAAGCTCGGCGGCACACCAAGAGAGAGACTGTGATTCGGACAAAGTATCTATCACTATGACGATGAATGATAAGTGTAATAGTCCATATCCTGTAAAAATCAACTTTTACCTTTTATCTAGGGCTGCAAATAACATTTATTTTACAAAGCGATTAATCGGACAAGTTTTTTTTTTGATTAACTGATTTTAATCAGATAACCATAGGTTCCTTAAAGAAGATGTTTTACAAAAGTAAACCAAGTGAAAACTTTTCAGCTTGAGGAGTTCTGGATAGAGCATATTGCCTGATCGAACAGTTTTTTTAAATCTTAAATGCAAAATCCTTGAATATATATTTTTTTTTTACAATTTCAGTATATTTTCCTGCAGCCAAGCGGTTTTTCAAGGTGCGTTGCTCCAATTCAACACTCCAGTTAACGATCAATCGATTACTAGATCAGTTGACGATTATTTCAATAATCAATTAATCACAATTAATCTGGTTAATTGTTTCAGCCATAATTTTATCTGTTATAGTGCCATTTATGCATCACAAATCACACACAAAGTGAGGAATCCTGATAAGTTCTGGTCTCTGATCAGCCGCCCAAACAAAAAAGAAAAACAAGAAGAAAAAAAAACACTCAGCAAAAATTATCGGCTGGCTATCAGTCTAGATTTCTTTTTGATTCAAAGTTTGGATTAAAAGGCTCTTTTAGCAGCTAACCAGCACAGTATGAATAGAAAAAAAGAACATTTCCTCATTACCAAAAAACAACAACAAAAAAATCCTTAATAACAAGAAAGAGCATGTCAAAAGTTATGATTTTATGTGCAGACAAAGCTTTAAAATTCTTTAAATCTCACTACAATTAAAAAACTTGCATGCATCATACTCAACACAGCAACAAACTATAAATCACTATACATGCCGACAGAAATTGGCAACATGCTTCTAATTTATATTTGGTGAACACTTAATGGTCTTTACTGTCTGCCAGTTTGGTACGAGTGGGTGAAATAAGATCCTACCAGTTTCCTTTTAAAAGGTTCTGAAACAATAATCTCTACCTTCAGTCATTAAGGGCAGGAGCCCAGCAACATTTAAATATACTCTGCTTCAACACATCACACTCTAATATTAGCTTATTAGCAGAGCTCTGTAAATCAGATGTGTGCTTATGGAGCAGTTTAGCCATTTGATTCAGATGTGCTGGCCAGAGAACATTTCTAAAAATTGCTGAAAACTGGCCTTTCCAGATTGGACATCACTGCTCTAAAAACATGCTCAAACCTAAACTGAACTATGAAAGCTTATAGAGAATTTAGTAGCCAATAACAAACACAACCCCATAAGGTAAACACATGTTTAAGATATAAATCTAAGTCAAAGTGTACCTGACTTCAGCTATATGTAGGCAGAAAGCACATCATTTACTTAGAATCAGAAGACGGGTAAATATCCTCTACTGCAACTCTTTATGAGTATTATAAAAGAAATGAAAGATTTACTTTACAATATCTACTTCTAACACAAACCCAACCTGTATAGCCCTGAATGTAACAGATTAACAGGCTAGATCAGCATCCGAGAAAGCTAACCTCACTCTCATACTTTAATTATCCATGACTTGAAGAGGTCTATATTTGACCAAAAGTAAAATATAAAAATAAGCATAACTAACAGTATATTCCAGACTAACTGTGAGATTTCAATTCTTAGCCAGAACCTTCTTTTAAAAATACGTCTTGGCATGATAGGCTGGCTAATGGCATCATTGTCGCCTTACCCTTTCGAAAGTTTCACCCTCAAAACCTTTGAGATTTTCTGCCAAACCATTCCTATCATTCTGACTACTATCTAAGAGGAAGGAAAAGTGAGACCATGAGCAGTTTTCTCTGGTTGTATACGATGTACAGCAGCAGAGCTGAGCTGGCTGAAAAAGGGCCCCTACATCATTAACATTGATGAAATCTGTTCTTGTAAAATAATCACTGATTTAAACATATCTTAGATTAGAACAACCGTCTATCCCATTATGGATATAAACTGATAAACAGCCTATTCACCACTTGAAGAGATAAACCAATTAAGCGGAGAATACATTTTTACAATCGTGGCCTTAAGCCAGGAATAGTTTTTTAAAAGCCTCAGATCTATTCGAGTATTTTTACATTTTTGTTAGAGTCATAAAACTATTTACATTTGTTAGAATATCTGCGAAGTAGGGCTTCAACTAACAAATTATTTTGCAAATCAATTAATCTGTTGATTATTTTTTTCATTTAATACACAGATACCAAAGGATCGCCTGGTTTAATTTTGGAAATTAAACCAGGTGAAACTAAAACCTTTCCACTAGTGGAGTTCTGGATTAATGGACAAAAAAGTTTTTTACAACTTAAATGCTAAATCTTTATGTATTCTTTCTACAGTTTTGGTATAATTGCTGCTATAAGTGGGTCACTCTGTCAGCTAAATGCATGTTTTAGTGTCTCTATACTCCAGTTAATGATTAATTGATTACTTCATTAGTTGACAATTATTTCGGCAATCGAGTAATATTGATTAATTTAATTTATTTTTATTTCAGCCCTAGTGCAAACCACAGCAAAAAAGGGGTGTTCATCTCCTACACTGCAACTATCTTCTAAAATTGTTTCTGCATGTCAGCCCTGTACGGGCTCGTGTGCGTTTGTGTACGAACCCCTTTTTGCCTCTTTTGACAGCTCAGGACGTCGATGCGCAGCCCTACCAGGGCAACGCAGTGGGACCTAATAAGCAAGAAATCAGACTGTCAACCAATCTAATGTTCATCTGGTTGGTAGTGGTCAACCCCAAAGTGGAAACAAACCTGTTATGGCCCCACACACTTAATTCCCTCATCCATAATTCTTGCTAACTCTGGTCCCTGCTATTTCATCCATGTTATGTTGTTGAACAAGGAGCACAGCTGTGGATTTTAGCATGATAAATTAATGTGTTTACTGAAAATATGGCACCACTGAGTTTTATTTTGCACTTTACTAGATTAGCATTAGATTACGAAAAGAAGGCAGTGATGGGCTGAGCCAGATAAACATCTTTCACAATGAAATCCCAAAGAGGGAAATTTCATTTCCTTTGGTTTTCAAATGCTTGGATCCCAGTTACAATAAAATCCCAGTTTATCACACTTCAAAATGGATCCAGACTAAGTTTTCCTTAATTTGTACACATATTTCAAATGAATGGGTAGAACGAAATTACTGTATCACTGACACTGTCGCAATAGAGGGTTAGAAATTATCCCATTTGGAAGTTCTGTAATGTATTCTAGAGTTAATTCCAGTCTTGCTTAATTTAGAAACATGTACATTTGTTTAGTTATTTGCCAACTATGGACACCAGTTCCTCTTCGAAAAGGCAGGAGAAGAGTCCAGGTGAGAGAAAAACTAGAGACAGTTTTACATTATCATATGTCATATAACATTGGGTAATAGTAGTTTGCTCTGGTCTATGTATAAATGCAGCAGAAACAGGGAGAGACAGCACCTTCATTATAATGACATTTTAGCGGGCTAAGCCCCTGGTGATGAAAATCTCTAGTTCCCCCTGTTCCTCAGTAAGGTCTAGAAGCACAAGATCTATATCCAGCCATTCAGCAAAGATACTGCTACATGGCTCTACATCTTATTTTGGCATTTGATAATTAGACAATTAGATAAAGTTAACAAGACAAGAAAAAAAATGTAAAAAGCTAATTGAAAAGCTGAAAATTAAAGTTAAAAAGTTAATAAGCCTGGTTAACAATTATATTAAGGTTTATAAACAAAAAAATGTAAATGCCAGTATCAGCATTAATGCCTCTAAGGTTATGTTGTACCAAAAATAATGTGTTTCTGTCACTATGACCGTTTTTCATGAATTTCTTATAGAAGAACTTTTGTTATTTATTCTTAATATATTCCGGCAAGTTGGCGTTTCTTGTTATTACATTGACATTCATTTTTGCCATCAAAATATCCATATTTTTTAATGTTACAAGGGTAATAAGGTCTTGTCCTGGATTGTAATAACACTATTGGCTTCACTGAATTCAATTCAGTTCAGTTTATTTATGTAGCGCCAATTCACAACACATATTATCTCAAGACACTTTACAGTTCAACCAGATCATCCAGTCAAATTGATTCAAAATTTTCTATCTAAGGAACACCAGTTGATTGCGTTGACTCATTGACTCAAATGCAACCCCTCACACTAAGCATGCCTGTAGTGACAGTGGAGAGGAAAAACTCCCTTTTAACAGGAAGAAACCTCCAGCAGAACCAGGCTCAGTGTGGGCGGCCATCTGCCGAGACCGACTGGGGTTCAAGGAGACAGAAGCAGAGACACAAAAAGCAGCTGTAAAAGGCGGCCCCGTCCAGGAAACACACAGCCAGGCAGACGAGCTCCGAGCCAGCTCCCATGTCAGAGGATGAAGAGAGCACATCCAGCCAGTCACAGTCAGAGAAACAGGACTAGACTGAAAAACAGGCAGATCTCCAACATCTATAAACAAAGGTGTTGATGGCAGCAGCACAGCTGAGATTTCTCTCCAAGTGAGTGCCCTATAAAGGGTTAAACACGACAAGTCCATAACCAGAAGATAATAAAAATAAAAAAAAGTACACAAAAGTAAATGCTTTTGAATGCATTTATAGCAATGATAAAGGCAAATGGCCAAATTATCTGATCTCTATTAAAGCTGATTTAGGACACAAAGAGCTGTTTAGTCAGAATCACCAAGTGTTTGCTTAAAATAATGTAGAACTGTGCTTTCTAAATGTCCTAATCTGCTCCCAATTCATAATCCCAATTGACGTTGACTTTGGATTTTCTTAGTCAGATTTCCTTTATTTCTGTGCACTCTTGCGCCTGGCTGCTAAAAATGGAGCAATCTGCGGTGAGAGAGATGCAGCTGGCATCCCCTCCTAAAATAACCTCCCTAACAAGCTTCCAGCAGACACCCGGGGATTTATGAATGGTAACCTGGCCTCAAACATGGTCTTCCTGTTGCTTAGAGAGAAAACAGTCGCAGGATAGCAGTCAACAGGACGCAATCCTTCCCAAACCCGCAGCAAACAGACGTGACGTTCTACAGTTGACTCGGCCTAATAAAACAGAGAAGCTCCAATGTACTAAGAAATGCTGTATTCTATGGCGAAAATGTATTGACAAACGCCAAATTAGCATTTGGCGGTTGTATTACAATAACACCGGTAGAAGCGAAGTCGCCACATAGGCTAGCAGCGTCTCCAGGCTGAGGGTGACAGCCAGCTCAGCTAAAAAGGAGCTAATGACTGTAGCTAGCAGGCTAACTGTCAAGAGAAGCAAAAGTGAAGCTAACCGTCCCATTTTTCAGTCACTTACATGTTACTATCGGCTTGTTTTCCATGGTATAGATGGCTGGCTTTTCCTCTTGACTCTCCATATGTTTCAGCGGTAGTACCCCATGAAAATAACATCCAAGCGGGGCTTTATTATTAGGAAGTGCTTCTCTGAGTAGCTCAGTGGAATCGGTGGGGCCTGTCATTACCCGATCCGTACCGGAAGCACGATCCGTACCATCAGCTCATTTGCGCCTGCGCGAACAGAATAACTTCCGGTGGCAATATTTCCTTTTTCTTACGTTTTTATTCTTTTGTATTTTTTAGAGGCATGGGTTTCTTTTTGTATATCTTTGTATTTTCGTCAATATTGCATTTTCTAAAAATAAAAAAACAGAAATACATAAAAAAGTTCAATCGTCTTGTGATAGTTACTTTGACTGCTCTGAGCATGCGCAAATATACGTCACACAGCGTTTATATTTTAATTTATTTAAATATTTGATTTACTCTGTACTTAACGATGCACTCCAGCAGTACTGATCCCACAATGGATTCATTTGCTACCTTTCGATACCTGCAGTTTTTCATTGATAAGGGAACATTTCCCGAAAATATGGATTTTTATTCCAGAAAAAAAATTAAAAGGATGTCTCCACATTTTCAAGTTAAAGGTAAGAAAATTAAAAAGTAAAACCAGCCAGAAAAAATATTCATTTAATAATTATTTAGTTTATAAGTCCATTTAATGTTTAAATAAGAATGATACAATTTTTTTTGTCCCTGGGAAAGCAGTCTTTTCAATTTTAAATCCAATATAGAATATATTTCACATTTAAGAAGATTATGTTCTTATTTCTTTCACTTTTTATTCTAGCAAGCATGTTACGGTCAAAGTAAAAGTATATATTTAAAATGTTAAATGCGATAATATTTTTTACAATTTTAAACTATTTATTTATATATTTTATCTTGTATGCTGTTTGGGTTACTGCATTTCTCTGGGATGCACAAAAATATCTGTATGCTTTAAATTTTATGTCTTTGCATGAAAAAAAAAACATAAAATATGTTTTATTTATACTGTTTTCATATCATTCCATCCAACCATTCTTCTAACAGACAGCAGACTCTTCTACGTTGGTCCCAGACGGCAGTTCATGCGGCTTGTGGTACTTTCTGAGAAAGAAAGAACATCTGTCTTGATGGAGTGCCACAATAATCCTGGTACTGGCAACCACAATGGCAGGAGGGCCACTCGAGACAGGGTTATTGCTGGGTATTATTGGCTCACCATCACAAAGGATGTTGATGAATGGGTAATGTAAAACAAATTAATTATGGCTCATACCTTCCATCACCTTTAATTTTGAAGACTTTTAGCATAAAGAATGTAATACACAATTAATAGAAGCTATAGGTTGTCTTTAGCTGATTTTGTTGTTTATCAGCCTGAATCAACTACACAAACAAATTTTCCTTTCAGGTCAAGCGTTGAAAACTGTAGCACCGGTTCTACATTCAATCAAGGTTCTAATTTTTTTAATTTATAGACTGAAACACAACCACTGTTTTTATAAGTCAATATAACCCCTTTCCATTATATCTTTCTATTATTTGTTCTTTTATTGTGTGGTAGGTAAAAGAACCCTGGGAGGTTCTTGGATTGGACCTGATTGGGCCATTGCCAGAGACCTCTCTGGGACACAACTATGTCCTCACTATGACCGATCTGTACACAAAGTGGGTGGTTGCTAAACCTCTACGAACAAAGACCGCTGTAGAAGTTTGTTCAGCAATCATCTCTAAGCTGTACACGTTTGGCCTAGTGAGAAAAATAATAACAGATCAGGGGAAGGAGTTTGTGAACCAGGTGAAATTTTATCCATCTTCTCTTCTGTCATTTTTGCAAACCTCAGTCCTTTGAAGATATTTATGTGTTCCCTGCAGCTCAATGACAGTATCTTTAAACTGCTGAACATCCAGCATGCTGTGTCCAGTGCATACCACCCCCAGACCAATGGACAGGTATTTAGCCTTTGCTTTGCAAGAACTTCCATGTTTAAATCAAGTTGCTTTATTTATGAAAAAACATATCTTTCATTTAGGATGAAAGGACAAATCAAAATATAAAGCGTGCTCTGAGGAAGTACGTCAACGAAAGCCATAATGACTGGGACCTTCACCTTCCTGCAGTTGTTTATGGAATTAACACTGCCAAGCAGGTAGTACACTAGTGTTTCATTTGCACAAAATATCTGAAAACAGATAACCATGAACTTTTTTGCTATCAGTCTTCAACCAAATACACCCCATACTTCCTCTTGTTCCACCGTCACCCACGTCTGCCCGAGATAATGAATACCTGTCCAATGGGAGACAACTTTGAGGTTGGTGATGCAGAGGATGAAATCGATAAACAGCTGACTGAAGTACACAATCTTAATACCAAGGTTTGTAAATGTTGAGAAAATACTAGAAATAAGATTTTTTTTACAATCTTGCCTAAAGTGCATTTCTATTTTTGAAGGTTCTTCAAAATATTGAAATGGCACAGGAAAGACAGCAAAGGACTTTTGGAGACCGGAAATGCAAATTTACCCGTGTCGCAACTGTTGAGGCTGGGGATGAATGTCTGATTTCAGGGGCTTCAAAAAGGCCACGTACAGGGGACACATTGACCAGCCAGCACAGAGGACCTTACAAGATTGGAAACATTACAAAAAAGGGAGTGGCCACTGTGCTGAAGGGATCAACAACCATGAAGGTCAATGTGTCCAGACTGAGGCCCTATTATAGGTTAACAAGTAAGTGCTTTTAGATGTTCCACACTTCTGTGTCTTTGTGTTCATATTTTTACTTCATGTGAATAACTGAAAAAATGTTGTCATCATATATACAACCAGATGAGCAACTATCTGAAGGGCAGCTCCTCAACGACCACGAATACTCCTCTAGGGACTGGCAGCAGGAGCTTTCCTATTGTTTTTCTGGAGCAAAGTGGGAACGGGATGTGAACCCAGTTCAAGAGGCTCTTGTATGCTTTGACATATTTTGCTCTGAATCTGCGCCTGACTGGCTCTGCTAATTTAATCTCCTCTCCTTTCTCACATTGCTGCCCCAAATGTAATAACTTCTCCTGAAATATTTTAATTTTCTTTCATTTAGCTATGTTACATATTGGACCAGGATTGTTCACCTGCTGAGCTAATTGTGAAGGAGGGAAGTGTGTGCCTTACACGTGAGGATTTCTGGTCCTTGGGGTTAAGTCAGTGCATGGAATCAAATGTAAGTATTCTTAAATGTGTCTCATAAAACCTGTAATATCTGACTGTCTAATCACTGGTTAATTTCAATGTTTTTCAGATTGGAAATGCTTGCCTGAAAATAGTAGAGGAAATGGCAAAAAGATTTGTAATTAAATTGCCTAGATCTTCATATTTACGCCCTGTGAAACAATTGAAATGCTTAACATCATTCTTTCTGTTTTCACAAGGGAAAAGACATACACATCTTCAATCTGTATGTGGTGCCCCTGTGGAAGGCAGATGTGGATCCTTTCTGTTCACTGCCTGTAGGTATTTTCGTGAATTTATCTATATTGCTGTCCTCCTCACTCTTTCTATTCTTCAGTGTATACAACATGTATGATGTAATATTAATGCATATTGGTATTATTAGGACCTGACAACGAAAGACCTTGTAGTTTTCCCAGCATGGAGCCAACAACAGGACGCTGCTGATCACTACCTCCTCTGCGTAATGACAATTTTTGTATTTTAAATAATCTCAGTGAAGGATTTATATGTATTGCTTTTTAATGATGTGATAATAAAAAGAATATCAATTGCAGGTTCTACTGGTAAAACAGAGAGAGATAGTGTTTCTTGACTCCCTTCGACCAGATGGTTTTGGTGACGAGGCCTACAAAAATATATTTAGGTTCAAGCTATATTGATTCACTGGTTGTGGCCTATTGCCAGTTCTGTCTCTTTGGATATATGTTCATAAAAGCCTCGTTCTCAGGCTAGGTGTTCATAAAAGCCTCGTTCTCAGGCTAGGTGCTCATAAAAGCCTCGTTCTCAGGCTACTTGCATATTTTAGTGTGTCACCTTAATCTGAATTTATAATTCAAATGTATGCAGACGCATTGCAGCCTTTATTGATCCAGGGCCATGGTCTGAGAAGACAGGGAGAGACCTTGAAGTATGTTTGTAATTATCAAAGTGTAAAATGTTTGCAGTAAAACACATATTTATCGCTCATATATTGTTGTACTTTTCTCTAATTTTACATGTGTCTTTTTGCTTCTCTTTGCTCAGCATTTTCCTCTTCAGTCCAACGGACATGACTGTGGGATCTTCATGTTAATGGTATTCACTGCTTACTTAAAGCTTTTACTCATGGCTCAAACTGTGTATTACAGTTATTTGATGTTTTACAGTATGCCCTCTGCATCAGCACATCAACCCCATTTACCTTTTCCCAGGTATGTTTATTTTAGTTTTTGGGGGGTTGATTACATTGAAATTTTTCTAGCCGCTTGTAATTTTTATTATACTTGCTTTTGCCTGTTTTTTCAAGTGGGAGATGCCAACCATTCGCCGTTGGTGGTGCCTCCAGATAATGGAGAGGTTTTGCATTGAAGGGTACTTTCACACAGGAAACTTCAATGTCTTCTGTATTTTAGTTTACTATGTGCTAATGATCCTGTTGTTCCATTCAAAGGCATGGACAACGATTTGCTCACTGGACAGAAGAATCCTCCCATCTTCTTGAAGGAATCCTGGAACCGGTCTTTAGGGTTCCAAAGTCCACCAGTGCAGAGACTTCCCCCAGAAATGGTTATGGTGGAGAGGGCAATGCGAAGGTGTGTGTTTAATGTTTAGTGCTAGTGTAGCGAGGGTGAAAAGCATCAAGCTCCTGGTTCTGCTCTTTTCCTGATCACCTCTTTTGAAACTACAGAATTGAGTCACGTGTGTATATATATACTATATAGTATTTTACGTTTTTTTATGTACTTTTTTCATACTTTAGGGACAGACACAGACCCTGAGGGACTTGCATAAAGCATGGGACTGGATTCAACAGCACAAAGCCTTATTCTGTGGGGAAATAGGAGAACCTGAAGTCTTACAGGTGAGCAAGCCCAGGCAGAAAATGGCCCTTGAAGGATACAGTTCTGCAAAGGATCCCTTCTTAATTTCCTTCCAGTATCAGGAAGACATGGAAATGTTTTACATCAACTGTGTTGATGTAATGGGACTAAAGGTCAATACCATGTTTTGCGAGCATAGTTCTTAGAATGTTTGTATAGTCAGTTCTTAATAAGTTTTAAAGGTTTTCTTTCTCTCTCTGAATTATTTTATTCTCTGCCCAACTTTTCTAACTACCATTTTTTTAATAATGTATGCTTTGGCTTTGTTATGTGTTCTTTGTTCTATTCCCTGTTTGGTTTTTGTAAAAAATAAACAATGTGGGCATTAATGACGAGGTCTTCTCCTGTTTTTGATGTGTACACCAGAGGGCGCTAAAATATCAACTGATAACTTTAACGTTCTTAAAAAATCTATTTTATACAAGAGTATTTGTGTTCAAGTTTATTATACAACTTTATGTAATGTAAAACATTACAATATGGATTATATATATATCTATATATATATATCTATATATATAGATATATATATAGATATATATGTGTGTGTGTAAACAAAATTAATGTTATTAAGGAATAAAATACATTTTTTTTTTCTCAAATAAAAAAATAATAGAGTGCATTCACTCTATTATCATAGAGTGCATCAGATAAACGTTACGCAATAATATATTCCCAGACTGCTCCTGGCATGTCTGATGATGACGTCAAGCAATACAATGGATTGAATTTAAAAAGCATCCATTTCTTCCAGAAAAGTCTTCAATATTGTCTTTACGGTGTAGTTTAGTGTTCTTTAATTATTTAAGGATATAAATAAAGTTTTTTCAGTACCGTAATTACATTATTTTTTGGCGACCCGGAAGTTATTCTGTTCGCGCAGGCGCAAATGAGCTGATGGTACGGATCGTGCTACCGGTACGGATCGGGTAGCGACAGCATAGATATCCATAATAAAGGCCTTTATTATGGATATCTATGAGCGACAGGGCCTGCGTCCCCACTGCGCCTCCCGGAAGTACGTAAGCGCTGCGTCATTAAAGGGCCAGTCTGTCATTTTTTTTAGCAGCGTAAACAAACGAGGGAACTATTTAAAAAAGGCCAAGGACCCCCAAAATGATGGGGACCCCCTAATTATATATATTGTATGAAATTGTGTTATACGAAACTGGTCCTATAGTCACTTACAGATGGAGTCCTGGGATTATTAAAGTATTTCTGATCCTGATTCCTCATAGATGGGACAGGTGTTGTGAATGAAACGGTGACCAGCTTGGAAGAGCTCCTGTGTTGCTGAATGTGTGCATTGGTGACTGAAATAAATCTTCTGCCTCCATTTATCTGGTTACTACAGTGTGTTGAATTCATGTTAATGTGGATTTAAAGGAATTTCAATCAGGGGCAGAGCCAGATGGGGGGCCAGAGGTGGCCATGGCCACCCTTAGCCAATCATTGTCCACCCCTGTAGCCACCCCAAGCATTTTTTTCGCCCTCTAATGCTACGTTCACACCAAAAGCAGCAAAGGCAGCAAAAACCCGCACGCTGCTTCATTTTTAATGATTGTACAAGTTTAATTCTGACACGCGCAATATTAAAGTAGGTCTACCCTATCCTTTGCCTGTAACAATGGCAGCTATATCTGCTGTGATCAGTAGGTATAAAGTCGTTTTAATATGTTTTTAAGTGAGAAAGTCAACCTGAAAGCATCATCTGTGCAGTCAGTTCATCCAGATTACCATTTTGCATTCAAATATTATTTCCCTGTTGGAGCCGCTCAGACCCCTACGTACCGGCGCTTTCAGTAGAATTCCCATTCAACAGCAGCCTCTGCAGCAGTAATACTCTCAGGGGGAATGTTCAGTCTAAATTTTTCATATATTAAGAATTACTCAACAGCTAATATGCTGTGGTTAATTATGCACGTCAAAATACTAACATTAAAGTTGAAATATATAGAATTCATGCTCACTTCAGAACGTTTGGTGTTATATGGGGTAAAGAGAAAATTCTCTGCAAGTAATCTAGGAGTCTTCAGTGAAATCATAGATAAATAACTAATTTAATAAAAATGTAGATATTAGACCCAGTATATTAATTTTATGCAGAACAACTTCTGAAAGTAGAAGTAGTAAATAATGAAAATGGGAAAGATGTTCGCCCCAGAAATTTTGTCCACTACTTTTTATTTAGAGAGCATGAATGTTTAAATATATTTAATGTATTTGATAGTAAAAGCTGCAGGAAAGTATAGTTTGCCTTTATTTAGAAAACATGGATGTTGTGCTCGTTGCTGTTGGAACAGTGTAGATTGACCATGAGGTTCTGACGCCTATCCGCTTTCAGCCATCCCTCAATCTACATTGGTTTTTGACCTGCCACCCCTATTCAAATTTTTTTTTTTTTATTAGCGGAAAAAAATGCAGGGGGTAATAAAAAAAAAAGTCTAATTAACCAAAACTTTTGCAACCCCCATGCTGTACCTCTATGGACCACCTAGGGCTCATGGACCGCATGTTTAAGACCTACGATTTAAAATATGACATTCTATAAAAGAATAAGATCATAATTGGCTTTGTATGATATTTAACATAATCTTTTCCATGTGTAAGTTTTAATAAAAACGAACTTGGAATTGTAGAATTGAAGAATCAGTATTTCAAAACATAAGGTGGTATGAAATAAAACCAAACTATGAAATTAAATAACTACATTTCAGAAAAGCATTTGGGTTTCATTTTATTCAATTATCTCTATATAAACCAGAATTCCCAAGTTATTAATACTTAAAATGATTAAAGTATTTATGAAATAAATAAAAAACATTTTTTTATTTTATTTTACCTTTATTTTACCAGGAAGTCCCTTGAGATAAAATCTCTTTCTCGAGGGAGACCTGGCCAAGAGGCAGCAGTACAGTAAGACATATAAGAACACAGGACAACATACAAGCTCAGCTACATCCTACATTACAGGTAGGATGCAGCGACACAAACTGATTTAAAATGTAGCACAGTATTTAGAAATATATTATTTAATTTTTGTTCTAATCAAATAAGATTTAAATAGTATAGATTTCTTTAGAATTTGAAACTCAAAAACAAGATTGAAGAAGGTGCACATCATAAACAGTGTGGTAGCTGGTTTAATTAAGTTTCAGTTCTTTTGTACCAGTTTTTTTTATCTTTGGAAATGCAAACAATCATTGGTAACATCAATAAAGATTAAATGTAAAGTTTGAAAAATTAGTATAGATTAAATTGCATAACACATAAAGAAATAGAATAGTGTAAATATCTGCAACAGGGTAAGTAAACATGTGAGAAACTGAACATCTGTAAGGTTACATTAACCTCTTACACCCTAAGGGGGTATAAATAAATTTCTACCTGACAAAAACACACAAAAGTAAATAACTTATAGCCTCAAAGCTATTAGATTTAAGAAGAAACTTTTGGTAAGTCTGTAAAGGTAAGATGTCATAGAATGGTTTTCTGATGTCAGCACCATTGTAGCTTTGACCCTGCCTGAAATATTAGGGACAAAATACAAAATATTTTGCATTTTTTGAACCTCTCCAAAATTTTCTTTGAAATAAACATTGCAAAACACTACCAAAATATTATTTATAGCACAAAAAAGTAGTACAAACTTTCAAATCTAAATGTTGTGTAAAAATATACCAAATTTGGACTCAATCAGATGAATCATATTTATTTTAGAATGGTATTAGTGAGAAATTTCTTAGGCGGAGAGGCCATTTTGGCACATTTATCCATAAATGTCACCAAACTGTGCAAAATATGTTTTTTACATCAATACTGGGGGTTTGGTAAGACTACGAGGTCACGTAGCAGCTGGACCCGCCGGTGGGTCCGTAGGGTTCAAGGGGTTAACTACACCCTGACATGCTGCGATCCATGGGAAATAAATATATTACAACATTGTTTTGAAGGAAATCAGAAAATATACAATCCACCCATCCTTTCTTCCCCAGTCAATCGCAGGGCAACACAAAGACAAACAGTATGATTCACATTCACCATTCACACTCACACCTAAGGAGAATTTAGAGAAGCCAATTAAACCTAACAGTGATGCTTTTGGATTGTTGGAAGCCGGAGTACCCTGAGAGAACCTATGCATGCACAGGGAAAACCTGCAAACTCCATACAAAAAAGACCCCAGGCCGGAAATCGAACCCGGAACCTTCTTGCTGCAAGGCAGCAATGCTACCCACTGTGCAGCTTAAATATTCACTCCATACAAATAAACTTTCTTGACCCTTAATGGGAAAACATACTTTCATAAATAAGTGCCATCTATACAGCTCTTAGCAAATGTCTGGTTTGGTTCATTTTGTTTACCATTAATCTGAATCCTTCTTGTCTTTTCCATCTGAGTCTTCTTTGGTCTTTCTTCTTCTCCCTAATAGTTCTCCATCTCTGGATTGGTTGTCATCCCTTGGTTCGGTCTCGGCTCCATCACCTTTACCGGGTCTTTCATCTCCTTTTCCCAAGATTTTCTCTTTATCATGTATACTGTCTGTCAGATTGTCTGGCTCCTTCAGATCAAATTTGTTTCCCTCTACTACTCGTTCTGTTTCATCCTTAGTACTTTTAGTGCTCTCACCATCTCCTTCTTTGGTCACATCACCATCATCGCCAGCTCCCTCTTTTTCCCCATTTTCTTTTGCATCCCCCTCCTCCTCTCCCTCTGCTTCCTCCCGCTCCCAGTCTGCTTCTCCTCCAACACCCTCTTCTCTTCCCATGGCTTCCTCTCCTCCTTGTCCATCATGTGGCAGGTGAGTTTCCA